CTCCCAAGTAGCTGGGATTACAGGCGCCCGCCACAACGCCTGGCCATTTTTTGGTTGCAGCCATCATTGTTGTTTGATGGGCCCGGGTTGGGGATTCGAACCCGCCACCTTATGTGTATGTGGCTGGCGCCTTAGCCGCCTGAGCCACAGGCACCAAGCCAAGTGAATCTTTCTAAAAGCAGAGTATGAACGTTTTAACTCAATAACTAGGAAAATGACATGAAAGTTATGTTGCCCAGTTTGAAGAGAGTATTTCAAAATGTATATGAAAACAGCACACTGTACCCCATGATTGCATTAATGTACACAGTTATGCTATAAGAAATAAAATTTAAAAAAAAAGAAGTGAAATGACTTGTGCCAGGATACATATGTGCTAATAAATTAGGCAGTCAGGTTGGAACCTAGGTCCTCCTGATTCCAGCCTTCCCACTGCACCTTATGTGGGCCTCCACTAAATCAGTATTAGGGACCTAGGAGAAGACAGAACTGTCACCTGGAGCTGAGAGTTGAGGTCGTCTTTTTGTCCCATGAGGCCCTCATATTCAGCCTGCCGCTGCTGCAACTCAGCTGTCAGCCCAGTAGTCTGTTCTCGGAGCATATTCAGTTCTTGGGTCTTTGCTGTTTGTATCTAGAAAAAGTAGTGGTGATGGGAAGTAAAGTGAGAGGTCCTAGGGACCAGGCACAGGGTGTTGTCCTCTCAGTTCCAGGGAGACAGGGAGAGAGGTGGGAAGGGAGCCAGGAAGAAAAAAATATTTCAGACATAAAATCAATGAGGAAAATGGGTAAATGTGGTATATTCATACAATGGAATACTACCTACTGATAAAAGGACAGACTCACTCTACATATGGTCAAACCTCATAAATATAATGCTGCCAGGAATGGCTTGGCATCTGTAGATTAGCAATTAAGGTGCCAGCCATGTACACCGGAGCTGGTGGGTTCGAATCTAGCCCGGGCATGCCAAACAACGACAACTATAACAAAAAAATAGCTGGGCATTGTGGCGAGCGCCTATAGTCCCAGCTACTTGGGAGGCTGAGGCAAGAGAATTGCATAAGCCCAAGAGTTTGAGGTTGCTGTGAGCTGTGATATCACAGCACTCTACTGAGGAAGACAGCTTGTGTCTCTGTCTCAAAAATAATAATAGGGTGGCGCCTGTGGCTCAAAGGAGTAGGGCCCCATATGCCTGAGATGGTGGGTTCAAACCCAGCCTCAGCCAAAAACAGTAAAATAATAATAATAATAATAATGCTGCCAGAAGAAGCTAGAGACTAAAGAGTATTCAGTTCCATTTATATAAAGTTAAAGAACAAGCAAAATGAATCTATGTTGCTAGAGATCCGGGGAGTACTGAGAAGAAAGGGGCAAAGGGAGTCTTCTAAGGTATAAAAATGTTCTATACCTTATAAGCCAGTTATGATAGCACACTACTCAGGAAGGGGAGGCAAGAAGATCGCTTGAACCCAGGAATTTAAGGTCACAGTAAGCTGTGTTGATGCCACTGCACTCTAGTCTGGGCAACAGAGTGATACCCTATCTCAAAAATTATTATTATTATTTTTTTGAGACAGAGCCTCAATCTGTCACCCTGGGTACAGTGCCGTGGCATCAGAGCTCACAGCAACCTCCAACTCCTGGGCTTAAGCGATTCTCTTGCCTCGGCCTCCCAAGTAGCTGGGACTACAGGCACCTGCCACGACACCCAGCTATTTTTTGGTTGTAGTTGTTGTTGTTGTTTGGCAGGCCCAGGAAAGATTCAAACCCACCACCACTTGAGCTACAGGCACCGAGCTCCCATCTCAAAAATTTAAAAAAGCTCTATATCTTGATCTGGGTTGTGGCTACATGGATAGAGAGGGGGCGAGGAAGTGAGATGATTCACTGGACATACACTTAAGATTAGTACACTTCCTGTACTTTACTGGAGACAAACTAGAATGCAAGAGAAGTAATAATGGATGGCCAGAGAGATGAGACTGGAAGCCAACAGAAAGAAGCAACAGAAACAGGGGCAGGAGAACAACATAGGTTCCAGGCCACTCTGCCCTGACATAGACCAGAATCAGGAGATGGGGAACTGGGAGGAATCACCAGGGTCCCCAGGTGTCCTGTACCTGCTCCAGAGCAGCCAGGCTAGTCCTCAAGGCAGTGTTCTCAGCCACAAGCCCTTCCACTTGTTCGTGCGCATCTGCACTCTGGATGGACACCTGACCCCACCCCCACAACAGGTAGAGTGGGTTCAGAGCAGGGGGAGAGGACCTACCCACAGCCAAGAAAAGAAAGGAGAAACACACACAGAGGAAGCAGGATCCCTGGGGCCTTGCCTGCCTGTGGAGTACCCACTTAGGCTGCCCCACCCTGAACCCCAGCTCTCTGAGCCCACCCAGCACAGCATACCTGATCTTGCAGGGCCCGCAAAGCTGCTGCATGTTCCAGGCGCTCCCCCTGCCGCTGATCTCTCAGCTCTGCCAAGCTCTGTGGGGACCAGGAGGCCAGGGGAGCCCATTCCAGATCTCAGCCTCCCCTGGGGTACATATGCCCATACACACTCTCCTCTTTGACCACCCAATATCATGTCCCTAGTAACTGTGGATCTCAGACTACCCAGTCATCAGGGATCTCAGGTTCACCTAGAGGTCACTAACCCCAGGGGCCTCAGACACACTCAATCTCTCTAATCCCAGCCTCCAAGCATCTTAGACACACCTAGACTACTGGTTCTACCTCCTGGAGGGTTCAAACTTCTCCAGCCCCCATCCATAAGAGGTTTCATTACTTACCTAGATTTCATCTAGGGAGCCCTGGGACTCTCAGACATACTCAGCCCTCACAGATCTCAGATGCAGCCAGCACCCAGGCTACAGCTTCACTCAAGACTCCTGAAGCACCACCAGGGTTTCAAACACACTCAACTCCCATCCCCCTACCTCCTAGGAGTCTCAGATCCACCAAAACTCAGTCTCAGACCTTAAGAGTTTTCAAACTCATACAACCTCCTAATTTCTAGCCCCTGGTGAAGTCTCAGAGTGATCTTCCACCTGTCACTCTGCTCCCCAGTCTCTAGAGATCTTCAGACCTAGCTAATCACCAGCTCCTGGGGATCTCAGCTTTACTGAGGCCCTTGTCCCAGCTCTCATGTTCCCAGCTTCTAGGGGTCTTAGACCCACTAGCTACCATATTCTCCAATCCAAGAGACTTGAGATTCATCCCTAGGGAAAACACACAAGTTTTAAAATCATCCAGCCCGTAACCCTTAGGAGCCTCAGACTTACCTAGACTTCTGTTCTATTCCCTATAGATCTCAGGGACAGACCAGCTTTTTGTTCACAGCTTCCAGGGGTCTCAGGACCACCACAGCTTCCTAGGTGTCGCAGGCCTGAACCAGCCCCCAGACCCTGAGGGTCTCAAGTGCATGCAGCCTCCAGCCCAAACTGCCTCACCTTTAAGGTCTTTTTTTTGAGACAGAGTCTCACTATGTCACCCTCAGTATAATGCCGTGGCATCACAACTCACTGCAACCTCAAACTCTTGGGCTTAAGCGATTCTCTTGCCTCAGCCGCTCAAGTAGCTGGGACTATGGACACCCACCACAATGCCTGGCTATTTTTTGTTGCAGTTGTTCTTAGCTATTGTTTAGCTGGTCCGGGCCAGGTTCAAACCTTCCACCTTTGGTGCATGTGGCTGGTGCCATAACCACTGTGCTATAGGCATGGAGCCTCACCTTTAAAGTCTTTTTTTTTTTTTTTTTTTGAGACGGAGCCTCAAGCTATCTCCCTGGGTTGAGTGCCATGGCATCACACTCAGAGCAACCTCCAACTCCTGGGCTCAAGCGAGTCTCCTGCCTCTGCTTCCCAAGTAGCTGGGACTACAGGTGCCCGACACAACACCTGGCCATTTTTTGGTTGCAGCCACCATTGTTGTTTGGCGGGCCCGGGCTGGGGATTCGAACCCACCACCTTAGGTGTATGTGGCTGGCGCCGAGCCACCTTTAAAGTCTTATGTCTACTCAGTCCCCATGTCCTTACCCTCTGGGAGTCTCAAATTTACTGACATCCCAGGCCCTAAAAGTCTCAAAGTCACTTAGACTTCAAGGAGTTCAGACTTACCCCCATTCATCTAGACTCCAGTCTTCAACAACTGCCGAGAGTTTCAAGTTCTTTCAACACTTGTGGCACACAACCCCCTAAGACTTGTGGCACACAACCCCCTGGGATCTTCAATTCATGCAGACTCCTGTCTCAAACTCCTAGGGTTCTCAGGGTTCTCTAGATCCCAAGTTCCTAGCAACTTAAGGGCCTAGACCCATCCATTCCCTATATTTCTAAAACAGGAAATCTCAGACTCTCTAACCAGCCTCCACTGATCTCAGACCTCCCCAGACTCCCAGCCTTGGTCCCTAACTCAAGGATCTCAGAACCCAGTCCTCTTCACCTGATTGGCAGCCTCAAGTTCCTGCTGCAGCTTCTGGGTTCGAGCCAACTGGGCCTTGAGATCAGCTTCTTTCCGCTGTTGTAACTCCTCAATCTTGTTCCTGGGGATGTTAGGGAATAGGCCCATTGGGCATGGCCTGAAGCCCTGTCTTTGGCTCTGTTCCCACAATCTTCAGTTAATTCTACTGAGCATTATCCCCATTGTCCACCAATGCCCCCTACCCTGGCAGTTACCTGCTATCATTAAATAGCGTCTCCTTTTCTGTCTGTAGACGGCAAAAACTGGGCACAGAAAGACAGATGTAGATAGTTTCACAAGTCAATTCCCCCCTGTAGTCTCCCAAAACCCCCAGAAAAAAAGAAATTTACCTTTCTTGTTTCTTTTTCAGTTTCTCAGAGAGCTGAGTGTGAAAGGGGTACAAACAAATGATAACAATGAGAATAATATTAATAAAGACAAAAATAAACTTAATATTTACAGATATTTCTTACTAAGTCCTTTTTGGAAGCTAGGATTTACTTATGACATCTCATAGGAATCCTCAAAACAGCCCTGAGAAGTGAGTAGTACCAGTTTTACAAATGGGGAAACGTGAGTTTCAGAATGGTTAAGTAAATTGGTTGTCCAGCAGGTCAGCAGAAACCATATTATCTCCACCAGTTCTCTAAGGCATCAAAGCCCAGCACTTATGCCCCCAAAATAGTGGCCAATAGCCATGTCATAGAGTGGCTATGCTGGAAGGCCTAGAAAGCAGAATTACGATAAGCTGCTTCATCACTAGGTCTCCAGGTCCTAAGGTAAGAGCCAGGGGTCTATAAATGCTTGGGTGAATGAATTGGCAAAGTTAGGAGGAGGTAAACAAGATGGGGCCTTCCATACTCTGGGACCACATTAGCCCATTTCATACTGAAGACAACTCCGAGACATAAGTATGAGTCTCTCCATTTCACAGATGATGAAATTGAGGCTTTGAGAGAGTACAATGCACCTTCTGTCCTGTCAAGCAAAGCCTGGCAGATAAGGAGTGGAATGGGACAAAGCTCAGGGAAACCCCCACCTTAGCGAGTTCCTCTTGCAATCTGGATGTTTCGGCCTGCTTTGAGCTCTGCAGAAAAGGATAAGGAATGGGGTTGTTGTCAGCAGGGATAGGAGAAGGCCTTCCCCTGCCCTCCTGTTTCCCTCACCCCATCAGCCCACGAAATGGTGATGTCACAGACATCTCCATGGGATCATAGGCAGAGCTAGAGTAACTGCCTGCCTGCCTGTTGGCATCCCAGCCCCAACAGACCCAGATTCACCTCCAAGCCTTGTAGCTGCTCCCAGAGCAATCTCTTTTCCTCTTTCTCCATTTCCCATTTCAGCTCCACTTCTGCCAATGGCATGGGGGCCAGGACAGTGGGGGCCAGGCCCCCTGGGGGGTCCCCTTGGCCCTCACTGACACCCGTGGATAGCCTGGCCTCTTTCCCATAGCGCTCCTGCAAGGCTG